TGTCCTAATCCAGCCCCTGACAGTTTATACCCCACATGAGCTAGGGGGAATTTTAAACTCAAAAAGAGGACTTTGGCTGTATTACAGTCATCTGCTTAAATACCAGGCCCAGCTGCTAGGAGGGACAGAAATAACTTTAAGGACCTGTCAGAGCTTAAACCCTGCATCCCTTCTACCAGAGGCAGAGGGAAATCCTGAACACTCATGTGAGGAGGTACTTATGGAGAATTATGCTGCCTGACCTGTCTTGATTGATCAGCCCTTAAAAAACCCAGATCTAGAATTATACACCAACAGCAGCTCCTTTGCCAAAAGTGGTGTCAGGCATGTACGATTTGCAGTTGTTACAGAATTTGGCATCCTCAGATCAGGTCCTCTTCCTCCTAATACAAGTGCTCAATTGGCAGAATTTGTGGCCCTAACAGAAGCCCTAAAACTGTCAAAAGAATAGAAAGTAAACATCATGACAGCTCCAGCCCTGGGTCTAAGATTCTAAGTATGCCTTCCTGATCCTGCATTCTCATGAGGCCATCTGGAAGGAAAGGGGAATTCTAACTATACCAGGATCTCCCATTAGACATGCTAGCCCTCCTAGATGCTGTTCTATTGCCTAAAGAGGTCTCAGTGATTCCTTATAGAGGTCTCAGTGATTCCTTATAGAGGTCACCAAAAAGGGAAAAATAAGATAGCACAGGGAAACAAAGCAGCTGATGAGGCAGCTAAGTAGGCAGCCATACAGGAATATATAGCTGGCCCTCTCCTCTGGGAGGGGACTCCCCTTCCCCCAGAGAGACCACAATATTGATCAGAGGAAAGTAAACAAGCCTCAGACCAAGAGTACCAGTTGGAGCACCAGGGCTGGTGGGTGTCCCCTGAAGGGAAGCTATGGCTCCATGAGACACTCTAATAGAAAATTCTTAAGACCCTCCACCAACTTGGTCATTTGGGCTTAGACTTTGGTTTTGGTCAACAAAATGTTTGGGGGGACTAAATTAAGGGATACCACCCACAACTAGTTGTATAGAGATATGAAATGAGCCCCCCAAAATACCCCAATAATAAAAGACTCCAAGTGCCAGGGCACAGAGGCAAGGTCCTACCCCAGGGAAGACTGGCAATTAGACTTTATCCATATATCAGTATTGGTGGACATGTTCACTGGGTGGGTGGAGGCTTTTTCTTGCAGTACAGAAAGTGCCAAGGAGGTGGTCTGAGTTCTAATCACAGAAATAATCCCTCACTTTGGTCTCCCCAAAAGCCTTCAAAGTGATAATGGGCCTGCATTTAAGGCAGAAGTAACTCAGGGACTCTCTAGGGCACTAGGCTTAGAATACCATCTCCACTGTGCCTGGTGTCCCCAATCATCTGGAAAGGTAGAAAAAACAAATGAACTTTTAAAAAGACACCTGGCTAAATTGGCCCAAGAAATCCACTCCCCCTGGACCAAGCTCCTCCCTACTAGTCTCATCAGGCTCAGAAACACTCCAGGCATGCGGGGACAGACCCCTTTCGAATCTCTATATGGCAGTCCCTTCCTAATCAATGACCTCCTTCTTGATCAAAAGACAGCTTATTTAATTTCCCATATCACTCAACTTGCTAAATTCCAACAAACACTCTTGAAGACCAAACAAGCCACCCCCAGGGAGAATATAAAGGGACCCCCTCTCTTTTGCCCTAGTGACCTAGTCCTAATAAAGTCTCCAAATCCAACCGTGACTTAAACACCCCGCTCTGGGAGGGGCCATATCTGGTTATTCTTTCTATTCTGACGGCAGTGCGAGTGGCTGGCCTGGATTCCTAGACCCATCACTCAAGAGTCAAGGGCTAGAATTCCTCTGTGAACATCACATCTCCACCTCCAGATCCAGAATTGGAGCCTGCTTCCTTCTATGTGAATCTTTGGATGGATTAAAACTGCTGTTCAAAAAGAAGACGCCTACAGATACAGCTAAGTCACCTTCATGAGCCTCCTTTATCAATACCTCCTAATCAATCTATTCATTCTGCTTGCAATTACTTTGGGAACAGGACCAGCCTTACAGCTCCTTCTAATTGGACTAGAACTCAAAAGGCAGCATCAGCACGTTCCTTTCATTTGCTAATTTTATTGCTATGGGGCTTGGTTTTCTGGGTACACTAGCACCCGTATATGGGAAGAGCTACAGCCCTTCATGGAAGACCAATAGATTTTTAAACCTCTCTCAAGCATTTGCCCTTCCAAAATCTTCACTAAAGGACTCCTGGATTTGCTATGAGAGACCAACAGCCACTCACCTGCCGACATGGGTCCTATTAAATTTCACTCAGGGTCCCTTCCCTTCATTAATATTCAGTACAGACAATTTCTCCTATGCCATGGTTCCTCTTACAGGGGTCCCATGGAAGAACCAGCCTACTATGTCTTACTCTTGGCTTGGGTTCATTTCTTAGCAAAATTTTGGATGTTTAACATTTCTGTCCCAGACAGCTATACATCACTTTGTCATTCGCCAATAGAGGGCCTAGGGCCTACATCTCAAAGAATAGACATATTTGACTTCGCCACCCTGAAGGAGGACTATCATCTGACAACTGGCTGGTGCTGTATGAACAACTCTAAGAGCCCTATTTTTATGGGTCCGATATGCTTAGGGCTAATGCTTGTAAAGGGAGCCTCACCTCTAAGCCGACCAAGTCCTCAAACCTCACTGGTAAAAACTCTTTTTGTGTACTGATTACTGGCCATCACAAATATATTTTAACAAAATATATGACAGGATTAGGAAAACTGTATAACTCTACCTTTCCACCCCTTGTGCCTCCATCTTTCACCAGCAGCCTGAATGTCTCTGACTATTTGTTTCCAGGAGACCCCTCCCAGGCCCAGGCTAACACCCAAGGTATTTTATGCCTTGAGGAAGGATATCTCTTTGTAGGGAGGTATGGAAAAAGGACCTGGTATAGGGACTGCCATGCCTACACCCAAACCATACTCAAGGAAATTGCCCAACTGATACCCAGTCCTGAACATATTTCTTTTTGTTCCCAATTAACAGGAACAGTTTCCCATAGAGATAAAAGAGAGGTTACTTTAATAGTTTTAGGGATAACTGCATTAATTACAGCCCTAGCTGAAATCAGCTATGGGGTGATTGCCAATCATGTAACTGCAAAAAACCTAACCAAAGTGGTAGAGGACACCTCAGACCAGGGAGACCTTGCCATTAAGGACATACAGAGGTCTTTGTCATTCCTTCCCTGTGTGGTCATGGACCACCGCCTGGCCCTAGATTTTCTTTTGACCAAACAAGGGGGGATATGTGCCATCACCAATACCTCTTGTTGTGCTTATATAAACACTTCAGGCATTGTAGAGGAACATGTGGATTACATTCTCTGAGAACAGTCCCCCAAACTCAGGTTTCCACACAGGTATGGGACCAAATAAAATCCTAACTTCCCTCCAGGACTTGGTTCCTACCCTTTCTGGGGCCTATAGTTGCCATTATTCTTTTACTTGTGTTTGGGCCTTGCATTTTAAACTTACTTATCAAGTTTGTTTCTTCTCACCTAGAATCTATCAAACTAAAGATGCCCCTGATGGAGATGAAAACAATCTATGATCACGGTCCCCTTGGTAACCCCTCTCATGGTCAGCCCTGATGTCGCCGGCCCCTTCATCGCCCTCTGTCAGCAGGAATCAGTCACTGAACAGACTTCGTTGTCCCTATTGCTAACAACAATTAGGAATACACCCCATGTGTTGCGATGTGACACCCTATTTCAAGTTCTCTAGCTATTTTCTAGACTCCTGCACTTCACTAGGATCCATTAAACCAGTTTAAACCTTTATAATGGAACTTTTAGATGCAAATGAAGCATTTAATTGTTATCTATTTATTCTTACTATAAGTCAAATTCTTATTGCTTTTGTTATCTTTTTCATTTTCCCTAAAAATTTCCTATGTTTATTTGATTATGACAAAGCAAAAAATAAGGTTGTCAGTTTATTTTTAAAATAAAGTGATAAGCAGGGCACAGTGGCTCAAGTCTGTAATCACCTTCTTGGGAGACTGAAATTGGAAGGATCTTGGTTTGAGGCCAGGCCAGCCAGGCAAAAAAAGAAAACTTTTTGAGACCAACCAATGGCTGGTGTGGTGGCATGTGACTATCACCCCAGTCACAGCAGCAAGTATGAATAAGAGGATCTTGGTCCAGGTTGTCCCAGGCAAAAAATCAACACCCTATCTCCAAAATAACCAGAGAAAAAAATGGTTGGAGGAGTGGCTTAAGTGATAGAGTGCCTGCCTAGCAAGTGTGAAGCCCTGAGTTTAAATCCCAGTATTGACCAAAAAAAGAAAATAAAAAAGATTTATTATAAAATATTATTACGTAAAAATTTGCACACTACTTTTTTGCTTCTGGTGTCACATATCGCATATAGCAGTGGGACCAGAGAATGACAAAACACGGTGGAAATCCCTTTGCAACAACAGGTTAGACATTTCATTTGGTTTACTATATAACTATTATTTGACTTAATCATGGTTATAAAAACTCTGCTTTCTTGATCCAGGCATGGTGGTTCACACCTGTAATCTCAGCACTTGGGGGGCTAAGGCAGGAAAATCATGAGTTTGAGGACAACCTGGGCTACACAGTGAGACTGCACAAAACAAAACAAAGTTAAAAGAATTCTGAATTGTCAGTATACTGAAGAATTGATTCCCAATCTGTTTTTTTCTGCCAAGAGAACATAGGGAATGACGTCTTTATGTACCACGATTCCCCTGTGTGTTCCAGTAGGGCGCTGAAACACCACTCCTTCCTCCCACTCCCTGAAGAAAGCATAGCCAAAGGTAGTGAGAATGATACACTGACAGCAATAAAAAGATACCTTTCAGGTAACTTACTATGAATCATAAAACTCTGTGGCAGACCTCAAAACTGGTCAAGCGGAGTCAGGGAGAAGCTCTGCTGTGCCATGTGTGTCTATGCCTAGAAGGGAAAGGACTTACAGCCCCGTTCCTGGGTGGGATCGTCAGCTCCATGTACCCATGAGGAATGTACCGCTGACTGTAATCAAAGCGCGGTTTCTTCATGAGGTGTGTTCTAACAGCTGAGTGCGCCCCGTCGCACCCTATAATGAGGTCACAAGTGACATCTTTGGGAATTTTGTTGGATCTGAAAAATAGAAGGAAACATCCCAAAAAATGTAGTGAAAATGCTGCTGCCCTGCCACGTGGCTGTGAAAAGCAATTCCCTCTGGGGAACTCAGACACCTTACTCTTCCACATTTGAGTCCATAGATTTAAAAGTGAGATGAAAACACTGGGACACTCAGGGTTTTGCTCATGAGAAAGAGAACAGTACACAACTGTGCTGATAACAAAGACATGCCAGGCCACAGGAGGTGACAAAGACCTGTGCTTCTGCACAGAGGACAAGGACCCTGAGAAAGGGAAGGGGCTGGAGTGTGTGGATGAGTGATGTGCCCACACCTTACACAAGTACCAACAGATGCGTGGGCACAGCACAGGTTGGGGCAGCGTCTCCCAGGATCATTGAGGTTGACTTCAGCAAAGGACATCAGAAGATAAGCTTAAGATCATCCCAGGACCCAGTTCCAGGACACCAGTCTGGAAGCACTCAGTTTCTTTTTATAAGTGGCACAGTATTTGCATATAACTTCTGTATACTTTAAAATCATCTTGAGGTACGTATAATACCTAGTGCACGGTAAATGTGGGCCTGAAAGTTGCTGTACTGTATTGTTAGAAAACAGTGACAGGAGAGAGTCCATACATGTTTATGACAGATGCCATTTTTATTCTGGAGTTTTGAAAATGCAGTTTCGTATAATAGTTTAGAGCTGAGGTTGGTTGAATCCAGGGACGACAAAGCCATAGGCACGAAGGGGTAGCTGTGTGATGTGTAGAAGGAGGGAGGGGAAGAGACTCTTAGATATGAAGTGAAAGGTCTAACACATTATCTGACAAAAACTAGAAATGAATCTTCTCTGCCAGAAGGATGATGCATGCAAGGTGACAATTTAAGAAAACTCCCTTGACAGTGAGAAGTGAGGCAGAGTGCAGAGGGAGGGGACATGAAGGGGACATGAAGGAGCCAGGCACGGTGGTGCAGCAGCAAGAGGGAAGACAGCCACTGCAACCAGCAGGGAGGGAGGCAGACAGCCTGGGAGAGCTTCCAGACCTCTGGAGAAGCAGGAAAAGAAACCCCAAGAAGGCTTCTCAGTACCTGGAAAGGGGACCCAGGAGTCAGGGTGGGATGTTTTGGGATAGTCAGCTGTTCAAGGCTTCCCACAAATTTGAGATGATGCAAGCTGTGCCCATGATGCGAATTTAACATTCACTGATTTTCTTAGGACTTCCATAAGGAGAATGGAGAGAAAAGCCTGGACTAGAGAGGTTCATTTAGAGATAAGAATTTGCAAGAAGTTGTAGAATCCATGGCTGGGCACCCATGACGTACCCTGAGTGGGCTATGTGGCCTGGAACTTAGAGGACATGGAACTGGCCAAGAACACTTGGAAGAATGACAGAGAAAGGGAACAGGAGATTCAGGGTAGTGGTGGCTGCCTGTTTCCAGGGAGGCGAGTGTGGTCATCAGAGCATGAAAATGAAGAAGTCACTGGCAGAAGGTAGTATTCAGAAGGTGCCCAGGGCTTATTTTTTCTTTCTTCCTTTCTTTTCTTTCTTTCTTTCTCTTTCTCTCTCTTCTCTCTCTTTCTTTCTTTCCTTGGTACTGGGGCTTGAACTTAGGGCCTTGTGGTTGCTAGGTAGGCACTTTACTTCAGCTCCTTTTTACTATAGTTATTTTTCAGATAGGCTCCCATTTTTGCTGGGGCCAGCCTCAGACTGTGGTCCTGCTACCAATGCCTCTCAGGTAGCTGGAATTACAGACATAACCACCCCACCAGGCTTATTTGTTGGAATGGAGTCTCGCTACGTTTCTGCTTCTACTGGCCTCTTACTGAGATCTCCACCTCCCAGGTAGCTGGTATTACAGATAATCAGCCATTGCGCCCAGCCTCCACCTAAAATTTCTTGGCTCTAAAGACTGTTTGAATTTCCATTTCAATAATCATTTAACTTTTTCAAAAGAGCCAAAAAACAAAGTTTACAGTAGAGTGCTCCACTCCAGGCCTTCCCTCTGAGCCAGGATTACCCAACCACGGTGATCCTTCCTTCCTCGGGGTTACATTTCACCAGCCTCTGGCCAAAGTGCACCTTCGCATTGGGGTATGTCTCAACCGCTGGGGAAACAGAGAGAAACAAACAATGGCATTTCAATTCTTGTTTCATTTAATCAAGTGGGACAGTTATGATAGCTATTAATTAATTACTTAGTTTTTGAGATAGGTCTTGCTATATATCCCAGGATGACCTTGAACTCATAATCTTATCTCCACCTCTTGAATGGTGGGATTAAAGGTGTGTGTCACCAAGCCTGGTCAGAGATTTATTCTTAACAATGCAAAATGAATTTGTTAAAATGGTAATTTGGCAACTGTTTGGCATAGTATAATTTTTAGTAAAACAGATTAATAAAAATGGGTGCCTTCATTTTTAAATACCCAACTGAGGCTGGCGGAGCGGCTCAACTGGTAGAGTGCCTGCCTAGCAAGTGTGAGGCCCTGAGTTCAAACCCCAGTACTGCCAAAAAAAAAACACCCCAACTGATTGCATCCTGCAAACTCTTACATTCCTGTAATTGCTAGTACTCTAGAATAAACAGATATATCATATTTCAACAGTTGCTTCTCATTTAATTGTTTATATAAGCAGATAATATTAAATCCCAAAGAGTTCTTCACAGAGCACTGGTCTTGGATACACTAGAATGAAAACAGTTCATGAATAACTTTCTTGAAATGCCAATATTTTGATATATTAGATTCATATGTTTTATTATAATTCACCACTCCTGTTTTTTTTTTTACATGGTTAATATAAAGTTAAAAATTACACCTGTGGCTGCATTCATGGCCCCAGTCTGGACAGAACAGCTTGAAGATTCCAGGCTGCTGACTCGGAGAGTAAAGAGGTTCTGGGGGAAAAGACTGCTGAAACCGGTTTTATTCAGGATTTATCCAACTTACCTAACCACATGTTACCTTTCTACCCTGATTTGTTTAACAATTATTAACACTGCATAGAAGAGTGACCAGTGACCCAATCCTAGTGAAATGCTAACACAGGGATCTGAGCTGCTTACAGTGTTTTTAGAAGGGAGATGAGGTAGAAAGAAAGGAGCATTTGTAATTGGTTGACTATGTGAAATGGGTGCTTATACAGTTGATACCTTACAAGAATCTGAAGTTTATATGCCAGACAAAGGTTGGCCAAGAGAGTTGTGCCAATTTTATTAACATTAACACTTTATGAACTGCATGTTGTACAGCACAATCTTAAAGAAAAGCATCTGTACACCAGTGTGTACCTTTGTTATACTAGAAGATGTTTCATATATAACATTGGAAGCAGAAACGGAGTTGTTAAAAGCATGGACTCAAGTTCAAATCCAGATTCTGACACATATTAACAGTGGACCTAGGAACTCTAAGCCTCCCTTTCATCCTCTTCTTGCCCAACAGCTGTTGAGAGAATTGTACACATCAACGCATACCCACCACTTATCCCAGGGACTACACTTCAGTGAATGCTTACTGTTATTTCTGTCTTAGTAAATTCAGAGGATGCTTCAAGGAGGATGTCTTAGGTCTGCTATACTGCTTTTCTAAAAACTGTCTTGTGGTCTATTTGCTTTCAACATGAATACACTTAGGAAACTGACCCTATCTCCCTGTAACCTATCCAAAACAGTCTTCCAAATATAGCTAAAGAGATGGAGCAAAGAAGAACTCTAAGCTCCCTCATAAGTCCTTGGAAAAACAGCTGGAGTGACTTCTCCACCACACACCCTCTCCCAGTTCAATCCCATTTGTTCAACTCCATCCACTATAACGGACACGTGGCCATCTCATTTTGTGTGGGGACTGGGGAGAAACAAGGAGAGATCACATCGAACCTCTGCTCTCCAAGGGTCAGAGGCTGCTCAACTACATCAGGAGGAGTAGGTCTAAAGGATAAGAGGACGAGGGCTGGAGCAGTGACTCAAGTGGTAGAATCTTAAGGTCCTGAGTTCAAACTCCAGGGTCACTTAAATAAATAAGTAAAAAGAAAAGAGAGTATAATTACTTTGCTGGCGATGAATCTCTTTAGTTGAAAGACTGAAGAGAAGGAACTAGTATGATCTAGGATTAAACTTAGTAAAGATTGAAAGGCTAGAGGGCTGTGACTACAAGAGTGATTTACAGTCTAGGGACTTTTCCATTAACTGCAAGGCCTTTTTAGTCGCTCAATGCAAACTTTACAATGTCCTCTTTCTTAACCTCTTCTACTCCTACTTATTTGGTCTCCTACAAATATCATGAATCTACACTCTCTCCTCCAACTATGTTACTGTCGTGTTAGCCAGAGTCCCAGTGACCCTGCAACGCTCTCAAGGTCGCAACCCTCTCTCAGCCTCCACACTGCTGCTTCTCATCTTCCTGAAATGCACATCTACTCATGACTTTGCAGGTTGTCTCTCCATCTCTGTTGTGCCTGAGACTGTGAGTTCTTTGCCTGAGAGTGAGCACCCATGAATTCCAGTGCCTGCGAGATGACAGGTCTCCAGCACAAGATGAACAGGTGGTTTCATTTAGATAATTGATGGATAAAAAAGATACCTTGGATTCTTAAGGGCTTTGTAATGTACAAAAACCCACAAAAAGGAGTACTGGATGCATCCCAATAACTCACAAGACAAGCGAGTTCATGCGTTTTAATCAAACTGGTGAATAAAGGCACTGGACTTACCAGTCAGTAGATCCTTGTTTAAGTTTTTTCTGCTTATAGAAAGAATATACTGCAAGAAAAACAGAGCAGACATTGTTTCTGGAAAACGGACAAACTCTAAGTTACTAAGCAACAAGTTATCTTTATTATTTAGAAGAATAGTTTTAGCTACATGGTCTTAAAGCACTTCAACCAAATACATTAATACAAGGCCTAAATTTTGCTAGGCAAGATGGTTTATGCCTTTAATCCCAGCATTTAGGAGGTTGAGAAAGGAGGATCCCAAATTCCAGGCCATCCTGTGCTAAATATAGTGAGTTCCAGGCCAGCCTGGGGCTATGCAGTGAGAGTCTGTCTCAACAAGGCAAAACCAAACCAAAACACAAGCAAAAGAACACAAACAAAAAACAATATCCAAATTTTCAACTTAGGTTTTTTCAAAGTTTGATACTATAAAAACTAAAACCTTCTCTTGTAGCTAAAATATTCATTAAGATAGTTTGGTTTTAATAACAAATCATAAATGCCATATTTTTGTCTTAGGTCTCTAAATGTAGATGTTGTTACAGTGCATTTCAGTAATGACAGCATCACTGGAATAAATGTACTATTTCCCAAAAAGGCAACCCTGAAGGCCTCATTTCCATGCCACGTGTGTGTGTGTGTGCGCGTGTGTGCTGGTTGTGGTGGGGGCGGTTGGGAGGAGTAGGACTGACTCTCGCTGGGATATATGTTGGTTGTTTCTGACTTTATAGGACAATTCAGCTGTGCCAACCATCCTATGAGGCAAGGTGGACACAGTGCCTAGGATCCACAATACTTAAGGAGTGCATGAGAATATTTTAATTTTAGTTTATTTTAAAATCAGAAAGAAAAAAGTAAGTACAATAAAATGGATATGTAGTAAATCCTGGATTGTTTATATTCATCTTGTACCAATAAATACATAAAATCTAATTTTTAGTATTTACTGCTTTGTAGAAAAAGAGCCTACCCAGGGCCCCAGGAAAGTAACAACATAGTCTTGCAATTCATGTTGAATTTATTGTTCCAAATTCTGGAACTCACTTTTTTTTTTTGACTTTTTGAGACAGAGTCTTGCTATGTAGCCCAGCCTGGCCTCAAACTAAAAATCTGCCTGTTTCGGCCTCTCAAGTGCTAAGATTTTTAAAAAAATAGCTTTAATATCTGTTGAATTAGTATACATTAATATTATGGGGGGGGTCACTGTGGTGATTTCATACAAGTGTACAGTGTATTTTGAACAAGTTCACCCCCTCCCCAAATGCTAGGATTACAGGCATGTACCACCTCACCTGACTCATCACAATATTTTTTAACACAAACATGCTAATTTATGACTCTTCATCTTATCACAAAGTAGAAATTTTACCTTAACAGCTAAATCTAAACTTGGTATAAAAACAACTTGGTCATACTGAAGTGGCAATGGCCAAAGAGAAGCTTCCTGTCTTTGCTGTAAAATAAAATTAACAGAGAAGGAAACTCTTCACTCTGAACCTCATAGCACTGTTTGCAGTCTTCTGTGTTATCAATCACTGTGTTTCAGTGGAAACCAAACTTCCTGCTCAAAGTACATCAGCCAGGGCTGGGGTGTAGCTCAGGTGAAGAACACTTGCTTAGCATGTGCAAGGCGCTGGGCTCCATCCCCGGCACTGCAAGAAAACTAAACAGTGCTAGGAAACATTACATTAAAGTGAAGAACATATTCTTTCCGGGTTATTTATCAGGCTTGGTTGACATTTGTCATCTGGGAACCGACAGACACATCAGTCCTGCAGGAACACCAGAATGTTCTTCTCCAGTCTACTTCAGGAGTTGTCATCCCTCCTGCCAAGTCGCACTTCCCCAATCCCTGTTCTAGAGGCTAGTCTTGTGAAGAATAGATAAGAATAAACAAGTCAAAGGTATAAAGTGGCACTTTTAACCCAAAAGGTACAAAATAACAAAACAAGAGGTGAGATCATATCCTTTTAGAGATTTGTACAACAATGGTTGTAACGCTGACAATTTGAGATATATTAGGGGAAGGGTTTACTTTCTTTCTCCCCAATGCCCTGGAAGGAGAAGGCTTCCTAGAAGGGGCTGCCTCTTCATCTGGAGTTTAGGCACTGAGGAGGGCCAGCGGGAAGCTCTGAGAGTCAGAGGACTTGACAGTTCCCAGGGTGGTGTGGGAAGGAGACAGCATCTACCCAGACAGGTATCAGGTGGAGTGCCAAGAAAAAACAAGGAGGGAAAGCCAGAAAAGTGACCAAAAGGATTCTGGATGTCACATGTTGACCATGGGGGATTTCTAAACTGTTTGCCTGTCCTGTGCAACAAGGTTCCTGCATGGCTGCAGAGCTTCAGCTGAGCCTTTGGAGGTCGATGAAGCAAGGGATGATCTTCATCATGAAGATCTTTCAGATCTGGATCATCATGGAACCCAGCCATTCACCAGGTGAGAGGGCATCAGGTGCCAAGGTGCAGAGGAGGCCGGAGAAGGTAGGGTCTGGGGACTGTAGGCATACCTTTGTACTTTGACAAGCTGTGAAACTGAGCCACTGACAGCAACTTTATGTATCACTTAAAGGGCAAGGAGGTTGTCAAGTTTGACTGAAATATAAATGTAATGATGTAAAAACTGAGAAACGAGAGGTGGCTGTAACTTTAATATTAACTCAGTTCTTAAGAATTGAGAAAGAGGACCTGGAGTGACAAGCACTTGCCGGTAGGCCCAACTCCATAGGTCCAAGACTGCCAGGTAAAAAACAGGAAATCCTATCTGAAAAATAACTGAAGCAAAAAAAGGTAGGGCATCTGCCTAGCAAGGGCTAAGAATTGAGCAATAGCAGGAATGGTGGGTGAGGAGCCAGTAACTCCCTTTTGTAATGCCAGGAAGGCTCAGAAATGGGAACTGCCTCTCTCTCTCTCTCTCTCCCTTTCTCTCTTTCTCTCTCTCTCTCTCCCTTTCTCTCTCTCTCTCTCCTCTCCCCTGACACTTGATTGGCTTGGCTGGGACTCTGGAGAGGGTTGGAGGTGACTGGCTTGACCCTCCTCTGCACATTCCCCGCCAATACAAGAGAGGATCCTTCCTCACCCCATTTATTTCTCTCCCAGTGCTCAACATGCAGGTCCGCTGCCTGTTTCCTTATCTACGAAGCAGGTGGCTGGAGTCACTGAATGTAAAGTCTCTGCTGTGCTCGAGGGTATTTACAAGTCCTCTCCTTGTGAATGTCTTAGAAATGAGGTCTCTCCCAGCTCTCCTCCAGAGGTGGCTTCCCATTTGATCAGGAGGTCTATTTTGCTGCTGATTTGAGATTTCAACAAAATATCTCAAATCTCACTTTCTCTCTGCTGTCTTCTTGAAAATTCAAATTCTTCTCCCTCTCTGAACCACTTAGCATTTCAGGTCTTCACCCTACTTTCAAGCTCCCTGAACTCACTCAGCAGCAATCTCTTCCTCGTGAACTTGTGACTGTCCCTCTGTCTCCACCAGGTCCCAGGTCCAGGCTCCCCTCTGTTTGCTCAGTAAGCAATGCAGCCTGTGGCACGCAGGACAATTACTGTTCACTGGGATAGCACATGCAGTATACACGGCTTATACTTGATTTGCATGTAGAAATCTTACTTGCCTGTTAAGGAGAGACAACTCTTGTGTCTTCCACAGCACCCAGATCAATCTGAGGCTACTAAAGCAGGATATGTCGACTAGTTGACAATGTTTATCTCACTACAGATAGCTGTGTAGACTTTCTTCCCATCCTTCCCTGGCCAGACACATATGTTAAGACTGTACCTATGTTCTCATAATGCCAAAATAGGCAGTTTACTATTTTTTAAAAGCTGTTAATAGAAAATTTTGGCTCTTGCCCCATTCCAAAGCCCCTACTTATTGAATGTAAACGCTGGGGATCGTCACACTACACAACAAGATCTTTTTCTCAGGAGATACATGCTTTACCTCTTGCTACTTAAAGTATGGTCCACAGACCAGCAACTTGGCCACCACCTGGGAGCTTATGGGAAATCAAAGCCTCAGCCCCTGACCAGCTCTGCAGAAACAGACTCTGTACTATAACCAGAGGAGTCTGAGAAGTCCTGATCAGAAGGACACGAACCTTACTTGGGCTCCATGCTTGCTAAGGCATGGTTGGGTAAAAATAATGCAAGTTGGAATTTTTCTCTTGTTGGTGGATGTTTGGTGCCTTTGCTCTCTCTCAAGGAAACAAACTCAGAAAGCATAATTACGAAGATACATATTTTCTCCAATTATGTGTGCTACTGTGTGAGAGATTTCAAAAACACAAAGCAGGGTAATTGATTTTCTTTCATAAACTCTATATTACCATGTAGCCTCTGTTGTTTTAGAAATTATAGAGCACTGAAAGCATTTCTAGTTCCTTCTCTACATTCTATTATAAGCAAATTTGGGGCAAGAGGTTAGTTAGAGAAAGGCAACAGCAGCATAAAGCCCTCCAGAGTTGTTCCTGTACACCATACATGACACAATGTGCTCATTTTCTCTAACTGAAAAGGAGATGGGAGGCAAGGAGCATCCCAGGCAGCCAGCCAGGAGCAGAGCACAGAGCTAGGAATGGCCTAACAATAGAGCGGTAGTAATAGCTCTGTCTTTGTAACATAAAGTATGGGCTGGACTGTTTTGAGCATGTCCTGTGGATTAACTTGATAATCAGCATATATGCTTCTAGGGTTTAGATTGGGGCAGGCAATGTCCAAGGTGGGGTTAGACAGGAAGGAAGGTATCAAGAAACAAGCAGTGAATTCCAGACTTTATAATTAACTCACAAACCAGTATCTCCAGGTAAACCCACCTGAGAGTTTGTCCCATAGGGAAGGACGGACTTCTTTCCTGAAAGATTATGAATCATTCTTCCTCTCATAGGAATACCTTGAGATACAATCTGAAAAGAACCAGAAATAATTATTGCCATTACTGTAACATGGCCTCATGAAAGTAAGATAGATGAATTGAAAACATGATTTTTAAATTACTTCCCTCAAACTTTTTTAAATTATGAAGGACAGTGGAAGGTCAGTGTGTTGAAAACCCATTTAGTCAAAGCAATGCTCCTGAATATAGCAGTATGTTTTTGCCTTAGATCTTAGAAGTGACTGAAAGTTTATCATAGGTTTTGGGAAGCGACTCATTGTCAGAGAGGCTAAGAGATTTTCTCATGAGGATGACAATGAGCTGCATGAGGAGAAACCTCAGGACTCCTAAACTTTATTGCAAATCTCTTCTTACTTAAGACTGCTGCTGTTTGGAAAACAGTTGTGGGAATGCACTTGTGTTTACTTATGCTATCAAGGACACACTGTGGTGCTGGAGTTACAGCTTAGTGGTGGAGCAGTTGCCTAGCATGCAAGGGGCCCTTGGTTCAATTCAGAGAGAGAGAGAGAAGAGAGAGAAGTGGGGTTTGATTCAAAAGCCTTCTATTTTAGACTACAATGCTGTGTATGAGAGATTATGGCCCTATGTAATAAAAGAAAATGGAGTTCACCTGCCTGCTCTCACCTGGATGCATCTCAACTCCCTCTCTACTTAGGCAGGGATCCGCCATCCTGTGAGAACCCAGTGTCAAAAGGAATCATCAGGTGGAGTTGTGGTGTCCCCCTGTCACCCCAAGTCCCCTGGGTGCCTCAGGTGCCAAATGTTCAGCCTCTTGTCAAATCTGGAACCTTGAAAACCTTTGTAGCATGAGTTTTCTTTCATTCAGCAGAACTTGGCATTCAATGTTACTTCAAACCAGGATAAAATCAAGACCATTAAATTGTTGAAAACTATCAGGTATTATTTTTTCTAAGGAAAATGTACTGACAAGGTACCTGATCTTCCAGGCCAATGGCTTTCAAGGCTTGTCGTCCTCTATAAGAAAGAGCCAGGTTAATGCTTCTCCCACGTGCAGATGTAGCCAGCCGGATATCTACAACATTGGAAGTGACTCTGTGTTATGTACACCTCCTTAAATCCTAGACAGTAGGAGCATTTCACTACACTTGAATAATTATTGCATTCTGAATCAAATTAATCATTAAATTAAATTTAGATCACTGGGGCTCTTAACAATCCTCACAGTTCTTATTTTAATTTTTTATTCAGAAAGTCTAAAGAGAAACAGAGGTGGACGAATCAGAATCACCTCTCACATTTTTCACTGTAGACTCACCTTCCCTGGCTTCATATACATCCACTTGGAAATTTCTCCTTGCCAAGAAGCATGCATTTAATGCTCCAACCTAGGAAGCAAAATAATTTTGTTCAGATCTTCCATTCATATGTGGAATTTTTGTTGGCAAAATGAAACAATGTGTGTGGATACAATTTACTAGGCTTCTTTGATACAGTGACTTTTCACAGTCACAAGTGAGGAATAAAAGGCAAAAGTAGTAAGGTTAATTAAAGATTAAGTGGCATAATTTTAGGAGTAGTTTTTTGTTTTATTTGTCTTTCTTTTTTTCTTGCTTTTTATAGTAAGACACAACTTTCATACAGGAAAAACATAGAACATGTGTAGCGGGGCTGGGATGGGGCTCACTTGCCTAGCAAGTGTGAGGCCCTAAGTTCAAACCTTAGTACTGCAAAAAAAAAAAAATCCCAACCAAAACATGTGTACTGTTTATAGAATAATTAGAAAACAAAACTTTATAACCTTACAGCCCTTATAACTAACACATCAAAAAATAGAATATTCCCAGACTCCTACAATATCCCCCCAATTTCACCTAATCATTGTAGCCTCATACCTAGAGACAAACATTATTCTGATGTTTATTTTCCAGCCTTTAGATAAGTCTGTCTTTATTTGTAAGTATTCTGATGTTTTTGTTAACCCATCCTTGCTTCTTTATAGTTTTGCTACTTAGGTATATGTCCCTAAGCAATATAGTTCAATTTTGCCCATTTTTGAGCCATATAATTAGAGTTACATTCTATTTTTTTCATCTTGCCTCTTTAACACAGCAGTATGTTGATAACAGCTCAATGTTATATACACTTCCTTAAATCCTAGTACAGGACAAGCTACCATTGTACTTGAACAATTATTGCATTCCGAATCAAATTAAAAGACTTTCTAATTCTTCTAAAGAAATGCTAATGGTGAATTACTATTAAATTATTGGGTCTTGTGTTTATGAGGTTCATTTGTGTGATCCCATGTGAACTTGGTATCATCTGCTTCTCTACTATGCAAGTTTTTGTGAAGTCTCACAGACAATCGATCCTGCTGTCAAGGACATTCATGTTCTTTTCTGGTAATATGATTTAACAAAGTTTCAGCACATCTCTTGCCTGTGATCCCACACATATGGTGGTTTTTCTTTAAGGTTTATGGACTTTTAACTGTATTATAGGCAAACAGCCTTAAAATTTGTGCTAAGGCTTTTTCCCACCATAGCTTCTGATGGTTTGTCTTTGACAATACTTGGTGTTCCCTGATTTCTAAATATTCTGGGTAAATATATCAGGCAAATGTAAAACTGAGCCCATATTTCCTCATAGCATGATAGTTGACTCAAACTGGACACTGGACAACTTTAAGTAAGGTCTCATCCAGGTTCATTTCTATTATTATTTTAGTAGATACTTACAGTAACCAATTTAGGTATGTGTCTTCATAGCTGAGGCCAAAAATTAGCTTTTTTTTGTACCTTCCTGATCCATTTAGGATGTTAGGATGGTGAAATGTTGTCTACTTCTTCCTACATAAGTGAAATGATTCCTTGAATACTTAATAAAATTTTGCTTAAAAAGAAAAAATACTGCAGGAAAGGTGGAAAAGAGAGCCTTCTTAATTTTCAATTTAAGTAATCCCTGCTTACTTAAAGTGTTGAGCACTTTCCCACACATCCATTGGCCATTTCCATCTTGTCCTTCACACAGTGTCTGTTTAAGCCTTTTGCGGGTTTTCTATTGGGTTTTCTGTTGTTCTTCTACTGATTTTTTAAGTTGTTCCTGATTCTGAGTACAGGATTCTTGTCATTTTAAAATGCTGCAAATATCTTCCTCCATTCTATACCTTGCTTTTTAAAGTCTACAGTATGTTTGGAAAGTGGGAAGCTCCTTGCTTTAATCTAGTCGTATCCATCCATCTTCTATTTCATTGTTAATGCACTTGGTGTCTTGTTTAAGAAATCTTTCCCTATTCTGACAGAATTTTTCTGTCAACTGTCTTCTCAAAGCTTTATACGTTTGTCCTCCTGAGAGTGCTGTAGAGGATGCAGTGGCTTCTTTACTGCCCCATCGTTAGCAACTTGAATTTAGTAAGGTCGTCTGTATTCAATTATCACACCTGAAGGTTGTTTTTTGTTTGTGTGTTTGTTTTTGCTTCAGTACTGGGGCTTGAACTCAGGGCCTACACCTTGAGTCACTCTGCCAGCCCTTTTTGTGATGGATATTATCAAGATAGGGTCTCTCAAACTATTTGCCCAGGCTGACTTTGAACCACGATGCTCCTGATCTCTGCCTCCTAAATAGCTATGATTACAGGCATGAGCCACAGGCACCTGGCCACAACTGAGTTTTTTAATAGTATTCAATACCGTTAACTAAACCTTTCATCTTAGAATGTTAACTTTCCTTTACTTTCTGGTTTTCTTAATGCATTTTTCTGACCATTCCCTCTTTCTCTCTTTTATCTTTACAAGGAAAGACAACCAAATGTTGGAGTTTGTCAAATCATCCTCCTAGTCTATCTGCGATAGCCATGGTGATATAAATTTATGTGCTTGATCCAGATCTCCTTTTCAGCAAATGCATGTCATATTTAATTAATGTAGTTGCTTATATATCTCAAATTACCTCCAAATCAGCATATCCATACGAAAGCTTATGATCCTAGCCTCCTGCCTCATTAATTTTCTACCAGTGAACATTTTATGCCAGTGAACATCTCATCCATCCAGCTGCTCAAACTAGAACGCTGGGAGTGGTCCCTGGCACCTGTCTCTCCCCATGCTCACCTCCAGTCCAAGCCCTATCACTTCTACCCCATAATCCTGTCCACCTACTCATCCCTTTCTGTGTTGCCATTCTGTTCCTAGTGTTCATCATCATGATGCTTGACCAATACCAAGTTTTCTGTCCATCCCATCAGATTCATTTGGCCTCTTGCAAGCTTATTCTCTACGAGCAGCCATTTGGGGTGGTGATGTAATAAGTTCCTTGCACAACACCTCTGCTGAGAGGAAAAGGAACTCAGCGACATGAACCTGGCATTTGCAGTCACTCCTAGAGGAATCTCTACTGAGAATTCCAGCACAATTTTTGAGAGTCCTGTAAGTAGAAGGACAAAATTGAAGTTTGGAACACCCAATCCCCCAATTTCTGTTCGGGAGGGCAGGTTCTGATGAGCCACACCCCGTCTCCTGATTTGGATAAAGACTGGAAGGTGGCACAGCTTGGAGTGGGGCAAACTGGAAAGAAACCAACAGTCAAAAGGACCAAAGCTTGTCTGGAAATCATCTCCTAGTCTTGATCTGATTATTCATCTGAGATTGCTGGTAACCATGGACACCCAACAGAAGCAAACATAAATCCTCTCTGGACAATAATGACATCATCAAAGCCCTCAGGTTTTCTCCATATTTTACTATACAAATCTAATCATGTCAGCCTTCTGACTCAGCCTTGCTAGGCTTTCATGTGCTTGTACTGACAATGGACAAAGAAATGATGGCATATTCACAAAATGAAATGCAATAATATGAATAGATCAGCAATACTACAAGTGAAAAGAGTAAGTCTCAGGTGATTTCATTCTCATGACAATCTTACAAAAAACAATAAAAATGAGCCATATGCATAGTCATATATGCAATTTTTAGAATATATGCATTTTTGAGGTACTGGGATTTGAACTCAGGGCCTACACTTTGAGTCACTCCATCAGCTCTTTTTTCAGATGGAGATTTTTCAAGATAGGCTCTTGCAAACTTTTTGCCTGGGCTGGCTTCAAACCGCTGTCTTCCAGATCTCTGCCTCCTGAGTAGCCTGGATTATAGGCATGAGCCACCAGCACCCAGCTAGAATATATGCATTATTGATGTATGCTTTTATGATTGTGTATATGATAAATATATAGATTAAGAGGCAAAAGAATGATAAATAATATTTAGAACAATGCTTCTAACAGATGAGGCAGAAGCATAGAGGTTGACAGAAGTCACTGGAATATATTCATTCTTGTGTTGAGTAATGGGTTCACATGTGCTTGTCATTATTAATAAATAAATAAGCAAAATAGTAAATAAAAGTGTCTTAGCATGGAGTGGTTGCACAATCAGGAAGCTGAGGTAAGATTGCAAGTTCTCAGCCAGCCTGTTTATACAGCAACTTCCAGGCCAGACTTGGTTACATAGTGAGACCCTGTCTCAAAAAAAGTGTCTTCTCCAAGACCATAATAGTGTGTCAAAGGTGATGGTAACTGCTATTCTGTGTGTTTATTTCCCCTTCTCACTTTCTGTAAAAAGCACTTAACTGGGAATAACTGTCAATGACACGTGTAGTGGTTAGACTGGCAAGACAACTAAGAAGGCAAAAAGGTAGAAATGGAAATAGAAATGTGGTATGTCAGCCATTTGAAGCCCACCAGAAACTCCTGGTTGAGGTACAGCTGGGTTCCTGACCATAAACAGGGAAGGAGGGTGATGAGAGGAGAGAAGAAATAGGCAGGATCAGACACCTGCAAGCAATACAGCAGATTTCACAAAGCAGTTTCCACTAAGGACGTGAACAATTATAAAAGTCCTACATTTGGTTCACAGCACCAAAAGTCTTCAGCAGTGAACCTTTGATCACACAATACCTGTACACTAAAAGTTCTCTTAACAGGGGGCCTCGCATGTCTGTGTAAAAGCTAGGCTCCAAGGACACTCCTTTGTTATATAGCTATGGACTTAGTTTACCCCTTCCCCTCTGTCCTCTTTCTTTTTGTCTCCTCCTACTCCCCTCACTGCAGATCCTGTGTTTTGACCCACCTTGGTCCATATTGGGATGCTCCATTTGCCAATTAGGAACATTATTTCCAAACATATTTTGTATAAATGCCAGGGCATGCTTAACACATGTGTTTAGCTGGTGTGCTTTTCTGGTGGCTCCCAGGTGACCCTCTAGCTGTGATTGTTCAACTACTCAATGACCATGATAAAATTGTTTGCTCTGGCTGGATCTTAATGTCTCCAAAGGCCAATAGGTTAAGCCTTCATTCCCAGTTTGGGAGTGTGATGGGAGGTGGTGG